CGCGACAAACACCTCGTGAACACCAGATAGCAACATGAGTCAGTGTCGCTCTTGGAAGTGCTGAACAAGCGCTGAGGACCGTTAGCCATTCACAACGTTGTTGCCTCCAAACCATCTTCAGGCACAACCTTCCTCAGCCTACTTAAGCTCAACTGATGAGGGGTGAATTCCCCGAAACACTGTGTATTGAGCAGGGAGTGGTGCTTTCTTGCAGGTTTGCCGAGTGGACGGTTCGATGGACTTCTCGTGTGCTCTGGATGCCAGTCGTGAGTCAGTCAAGTGAGAATTCAAGTCGGCAGGAAAACCGCAAGCCCCCTTGTAGGGAGCAACACACTCCTCCCCTACTATCGCCGAAGTCGCACCAACCTCTTCTTCACATTAGTAAATTGAATTTATAATAAATGTAAAAAAAGAGAAGAAAACACATGAGAACGAGTTATGCAGGAACTATCCACGACTGTAACAAGATGATAAACAGTCAGAAAGTGCGACAGTAGGGCACAAAACTGATAAGCTACTGAGACATTCAGCGACCTGAGACCTAGCTGTAACACACCTCCAGTGCGCAAACCAACAGCCTTCCAACTTGGAAGGTTCATGGTTACGTAGGACCGAAGAGGGGAAGGTGAGCACAGCGAAAATGTGCACAAGCTAAGTACCACGGCAACAAAGAATGCCGACTGTTACAGGACGAACCCTTGAACCTTCCAAGTTGGAAGGCTGTTGGTTTGCACACTGGAGGTGTGTTAGAGCTAGGTCTCAAGTCGCTGAATGGCTCAGTAGCTTGTCAGTTTTGTGCCCTACTGTCGCACTTTCTGACTGTTTATCATCTTGTTACAGTCGTGGATAGTTGCTACATAACTCGTTCTCATGTGTTTCTTCTCTTTTTGACATTTATTACTGGCTCAGTATCTAAGTTAAAATTTATATAAAGAAAGGTATATTCTGTAAGATTGCACTGGTCAGTACACAACGGACAGCGGAGTGCTTGGTAACATTGTATGAATGACTCACTGATGGCCAATATTGTACTACTACTCGTTGATTTCTCTGGGACAGCAATCCCTTAGAGCTGCACCTCCTTAGCGGTGCACTCATTTCAAGGCTACGCGCTGATTATGAGTGAGTTACTCACTCCGTGTGTTTTCTCACGGGTAATTAATGAGGGTTTTTTCACTCAAACCAGTGTTCCGAAGGGTGATGTGAGGCGCGTTTTTCATTATGGTTTCTGATTTGCGCGGAAGTCCCTGAGCGGTACAAGTCTCCCACTATTGCCACGACATCATGGGATGCATGCCTGTAAACATTTCAAGTACTATACCACAGGCTAGAGGACCGTTGTCAGCTGGTTTTGACATCGGCTTGTGGGGCCAGTTCATTGGTATGCGCCTGGAGAATCCTCTCCACACACATCCCAGGCTGCAAATCGTATGAAGGTGGTGGTGGGGATCTCCTATACGTGTCCAGATACTCAGAGTAGGAGCACCGATGAGCGGCAGCAGCTCGTGCACCCAGAGTTGCCGACGAGAGCATTCTGCGGTTTCTGTGGCACATGGCAGTTAGAGGCTGGGTGTTGACATGCTGGAGCATGAAATCCAACATCCAGGCCATGGGCAGATGCCACTTTGCTAGGCTTGCACTTGCACCCGGCCCTCGGGCTAAGTAAAATTCATTTCGAGTGTACTTGTACTCTGCATCTCGGTAAGGATGGTGTCGAAATTCGAGAGAGCAGTGTGATATGACGTCTGCGCTTACGTTGGTACGCTGGCACATCCCAGTCAAGAGAGTAGTGTTACTGCTAAGATGAACAGACACTAAACACTGATAATCAGCAGTATGTTCGGGTATTTATGTGCATTTCTCTTCATCAGTGTTTTGTTGCCCGGTGGCCATAATCTGTATGCGTTTCCGGGATGAGTGGATGCTTCAACTAATGCACTGCACCGGATGCCAAGTATCCAAGTGTCTGGTAATGTGCATGTACGTTAGTGTAGCAAGAAGGAGCTACGTGTGTGTGTGTGTGTGTGTGTGTGTGTGTGTGTGTGTGTGTGTGTGTGTGTGTGTGTGTGTGTGTGTGTGTGTGTGTGTGTGTGTGTGTGTGATCTCCGGTAGCCTAATTGGTAGGGCACTGTCCCGGTACGACAGGGTTGCTGGGTTCGAATCCCGCTCTTCTTTTGCAACAGTACTAGCATGTTTGGCATTTCGCGTATCTATGATTACCTCAGTTACCTTGGTAACGAAATGGGTCGTGGTAGTTTAATTGGAATATGTGATAAGTGGACAGTGGCATGCTGGTCCAGTTGAAGGTGCTTGAGAACTGAAGCCGCCGGCGTGTTTCTTGTTCATACATGGACGGGTAAAACGTGTAGCATAATTAATGAATTGGGACGGTGGTGACATGGTGAGGTGTGCTTCAGAAGCGACACAATCAGGGTATACGCAGTTCATACATGGTATAGTGGTGTTCATGTGTCATGCGGACCATACAGGAGTATTGCTAGCACATGTGTATAGATTACCTTAAACAAAAGGTGAGTTACTGCACGTACATACCTCAGCAGCAGGTGCAATCGGAGCCTGTGACGCTTTTTTGCAAAACCCACTCTTCTCTCTTAGAGCACACAACCCTTATGGAGTGTGCTGACTTCCTTTCTCTAGTGCAGTCAATCACTTATGCAGTGCTTTGTGCTGTATCTGGGATGACGTGGAGGTGTCCTGCTTGTTGCCTGTTGATATTGGTACAAGTAAGGGTCTGACAGGTGCTGCTGCTGGTGATGCTGGTGTCTTGTTGAAGGGAACGTGCAGTGGAGCTGCTGCCCAGTGGCCTTAGCCGTAACCACTTCATCTTCTCTTGGGCTAGCACGTGATAATATCGTGTACAGGTCCAGATATTGATAAACTAATTCTGGTAATTGCACCCACCGTGTGCATGTAACTCAGACTAACAACCACCACAATCATAGCCTTGGTTCACTGTTTTGTCGTGTACCACGCTCTCTCTCTCTCTCTCTCTATCTCTCTCTCTCTCTCTCTCTCTCTCTCTCTCTCTCTCTCTCTCTCTCTCTCTCTCTCTCTCTCTCTCTTCTCTCTCTCTCTCTCTCTCTCTCTCTCTCTCTCTCTCTCTCTTTCTCTCTCTCTCTTTCTCTCTCTCTCTCTCTCTCTCTCTCTCTCTCTCTCTCTCTCTCTCTCTCTCTCTCTCTCTCTCTCTCTCTCTCTCTCTCTCCCTTTGGCATTTAGGGACTAGAACACCCTGGATGCATCCAATCTATGTATAATCCTGGACTGGGAACAAATAGCTTTCTGATCCATGAAACATATGATTATGTACAGTGTAAACTGTGTAAGCTGTGTATATTGTAAGAGTGTCCAGTGGACGGTGGATGGCAGGCACATAAGCACTAAGCTAACTAATAGCAGTTACGCATACCGTGTTTTCCTGGTTATGATAAAACCAGGAAAACACTTTATATGGGTTGCTGTATTTTGCCAGCAATTGATCAGTGCTAATGCGCCGACGTGTCGATGGGCATTCATGTTACTCCTGTGGCCAAGATGCAGGACAAAATTTAATGGCCGCCGGTACACAGTTGCGTAGAGAAACTTGAGCAATTAGTGCAGCCTGATCTCTAAGGTGAGAGATGGACACTTTTGTTTTTCGAAAGGAGTTTGTTGCTGATAGCGGTCGTGCTAGGAACAATCAACAAAGCAAATGTCCCAAGTGAAACCTAGCTGCTTTGTGAACCAGAGTGTTTCTGTGAAAGTGCACCTTGGCTTCGCTATTCATGGAGCATTCTGGCTCAGGTCTGAGGGAGAATCATGCCCTGAGTGCCTGCTGCCTGGGTATGATGCCAAGCTCAAGCCAAGCCACTCTTTCCAAGCTGTCTAGTCCAATGGTGCACACTCATTGCCAGCACGTGCTGCAGCAGCAGCACAGGTGGACACAGCAGCAGGATAGACTAGCAATGGCTACACACGACGCACACAACGACAGTGGTGATGTTTCAGCAAATCATTCTCCGCACGGAATGCTAAGCATAGAGGAGGATTGCAAGTGTTAGTAAATGGCGTGTGGTGATAGTAATGTGTCTATCTACTGCTGTAGAGCGCAAAATTCAGTGTTGTGGCAGCAGTGACCATCTCAAATCTCAAGCGTGATACTCACGAACAATCCGCCGGACTCAACAGCTCTTATTCTTTAACGCTACCTGTTGTGCAGGATGATGTCAAGAGAAGGGGGATATCTGTTTCAAGACACGTGTGTGTGTGTGTCTGGGGATGGGGTGCAGGGTAGCTTCATGTCATTTATATTTCTTAGGCTCTTTCTCACTGGGGGCATAAATAGGGTTTAGTGTAGGAATTAGGGAAGGGGTTGACTCAAGTGTAGCTCATGGATGTGTTAAAGACGGGGAGGGGGCAATTGTTGTACTTAAATCCTGAATATGTGAGGAGCAAATCAACGGTATTACGTCACTTCTAGGTAGTATGTTGTCCAAGTTAGTTTACCAGTCTTTGAAGGCATTGATGTGTTCACTTCATTGAGGGTTCTGTCCCACAGCCCGTTTTCAACTAGCATGGCCTCTTCAGCTCCAGACACTGCCCCAGAGCTGGTGGGCTTGTAGCAGTTGGACCGCTCTGCTCGGTTGAACACAGTGCGCCTCCTGCGTAACCGGCGTCACCAACAGCTCGTGTCCTCTCCACACAGTCGCTTCCCAGAGATTGGATGAGCCGGCGCCGCTAGTACTCGTGTCCGCTCTCTCTCGGTCACTTGCTTTCGAGTACATCAGCCGCTGTAGACAGGCGATGGGCATGCACAGCGCACGGGAAGCATCTCTCGCGTCGGTATCCACTGCTCTCGGCCCTGGCTGTCGCATCTGGTAGTGCTGGCCAGGCGCAGCACGGGCACCCACTGGGTGACAATGGTGCACTCGCGGCGCATGGCACAGCCCACGAACGGCTCGCTGCGCCGGCCCCACGTCAGCGCCCTGCGTTGCAAGCACGTCACCTCGTACAGCAGCGGCGGGTAGCGCGTGGCGTCGTAGCTGCAGGACAGCTTGTACGGGCACTGCGTCCTGGGGCCGACCTCGTTGAGCCGACACGTCCGCGGCCAGTCGAACCTGGTGCGTGTCGCGTTCTGCTCCTGCGGGCGACGTGCGGCCGACTGCTGGCGACGCACACTCGGGCACAGGGCGATGGGCGTGAACTGTTGCAATAGGGGAATGTAGTCTGCCAGCAGCTTCATCAGGTACTTCTCCTTCTGCGGCTTGCAGCGCGTCCGCTTCTTGGGCTTTGGCGAGGTTCTCGACGGTGTGGTGAGGGGCGGGCCGCGGATTTCCGTTGTCGCGCCAGCGGCACCCAGTGACATTGGGCTCTGCTCGACGAGATAGTGCCGTGGAACCTGCCAGTACTGCGGGAAATCGGGGTCGACAATGCGCGTCTCGTTCGGGAACTCCAGCTCGACATTGGGCGGTGGCAGTGACAAGCAATTTGCCAGCTGAGACCTCAGTGACAAGAGGAGGACAGCAGCCAGCATCACCATCCTGTGTGCTTGCGAAGGCTCTACCGGTACTGGCATGAGTATGTAGCAATGGAGAGAGAATCACAAATCCGTTGATCACCGAGAGAGAGAGAATCACCGTAGCTTGCTAGGGCGTCAGGCTTGTCCAAGAACCTGGTGGGAACAACAAGAACACATGATACAGGAGAATGGTCAATACTTTGGCAACATCATCCCCGAGAGCCCTCTGCTTTATATTGCCACACTGACCCATAGAACAATAGGCTGTCCATTTCTAAGTGTTTTTGTATGGGACGTGTTCATTCCTGACATAGTCTACTCGCTCTTAGCTGGCCTACCCCCTTGTTTCCCTATCTCAGATGTGAATAGGCTCTTTGCCGCTCTCATTCCCTTTTGTCAGTAGGCAAGAGTAGAGCTGTCCGGCTGTACCTGCTAGTGTAGCAGTCATGGCTGCATGCTAGAGCAATGGAGACAATCATTGAAAGTACAGAATACATGTACAGGTGATAATAATTACCTGGAGTCTAGAAATGAATACGGATTACCAGCAGAAAAAGAATTGTGCACCCAGCTATTGCAACAGCCCTACGCCACTGAATACCCGCTTCTTCAGCAACTGGGAAAGCTCTACACCCACTTTGATGTACTTGCTTCCGTATTTAGCTAGCTTTGCCCACTATGGTTGGTTTGCTGGGCTGATTATCAATGACAATGTCTGGAAACTTCACTGAAGGAACCACAAACCAGGTCAGACTCTTGGGGAAATTCAATTAATTACAGCAGGTCTGCTCCAACTTCTCAACTTCCTGTTGCCTTGGCATGACTATTTCTTGTAAGTCAAGGTGGCTTTTATAGCCAGTGTTGTCAATAGCTGTCTGGGCAGTAAATTCTCAGTTGGTAGCTGTGCTTGGCTGGCGGCAGGATGGTGGATGGTTTTTTGACAATGAAGCGAGTGCTATGCTATGGCGGCTTTGTTTTTTTCTCCTTGAATCATGTAAAGCTGGTGTGATCTTGCCGCCAGCACTTGCCACCTGCATGACAGCTTCACATGTGGTCTAAACAGAGCTCCAGCGTCATTGGTTTCACTGCTCCTACCTTCATGGCTTCACCGTTAGCTTTCCTAGTTTGGTCAATTCCTGTGACTGATGCGGAGATGTAAATTGGCATTGTTTATGCCCTCAGCTGGAGTGCAAGTACAAGTCCCTGATCTTGGAGAAGCCTAGCCATCAGCAATAACACATACCCCGTCATTTCTTAATATGGCGAGCTCTTGGTGGGACGCCACATTCCATTTGTTGCTCAGGGCCTTTCAGAAGTTCGAGAGAAGTCTTTGAGTCCGACTCTGCCTTAAACTAGTTTCACAAACTAATCCGAACCGCCGGTTACGTAACTTTGGCAGGATGCAGTATGATGCTAGGGAGTGTCACACACTGGACTAAGACAGAGGCTACGTATGTAATCGGGGGTGTTACGAATTGTTACATACGGAACTGAGAAACTGAGACGCTGGTTATGTAAGCAGTAACATGCTAAGGAGTTGGACATCCTAGTACTTCGTAGTACACCCACCATTGGACGCTACGGGCGCGGTAGGAGGTCTGAACTGCTACTGCTGCTGCTGCCACTGCCAGGCTGAAAAGTACTGGTGAGAGGTGTAGCCATATCCGTTTTTGCCCTGGTCCTGGATCCTTGCTGTGGGCTTTGCCAGGCAATTGGTCTCACTGCAGTGCCATAGAGCACTTGTGATTAACATACCTTTACAAAATGATTTCAAGTGCTTCTCAAGTGCCCTGGATCAACACCGATGTCCACTTCATCTTCCATATCAAGGCTCACAGTTACGCGGGTAAGCATGTCTCCTCCAGTCCTCAACTGAACCCTCACTCTCTACTGCCTGAAGCCTAGTGAAGGGAACCTCACTTCTTTCTAGCTCCTAAAACTCTCCGTGTGTGTGTATTTAACACTATTGTACCTGCCCCGCACTGGTTTGGTGCATGTTGATCCAGGACTAATGAACAGGAGCACCTCCCACTGTCACCATGTCACCATCAGTGTAGCAGCCTCTAACTGTTACTCAGGACTTGATCCTATCGGTGGATGTTCTTCAACTTGTTCAACTGAGTGTGGTGGCAGGCAAGCTGACTAGCTGGACCAATGGGGTCAGCAGTAACAGTTTTAAACGGTTTACTTGTTGAATTGGTTGGCATCCTGCTGTGATCTTGAGACGGTGTTGGGACTCTAAGGCCTTCGGCACCTGACTGTTTCTCATAGGTTGGTTACGCTGCAAGTAGTGGGTCCTTGGGGCAAACTCTCTTCATGCATGATGCTCCCTTGCCCATTGAGTCAGCATTCTGCTGATACTCTCCTGTGCCTGTGGCTGCATAACATCCTTTTGCGTCTCTCTCCTCTCTTTCGGGGAGACTCAGGTGACCAGTTTATGGCAGTGAGCAAGTGCAGGTAGGATATCGTAATGCTTCTAGCCATATCCAGTTCGATGCTCTGGACTACTGGGGATGAGTGTAATGGGTTCACTTTTTGCCATCTCAACCAATTATTTTGAAAAAAGACCATTCATAGGTGATAGGTACATGTGACAGGACACTGCTATAGCCCATGTGCTACTTCTGCTGATGCTGGATCTGCCATTCACAGCCCACTGGCCTAACCTTGTTACTGGCTGCTTGCTTGGACCCATCAGTAATTGGTATCAAGACATAACTGCGTGCTTGATTAAGGCTGCTCGCACTGATTACATAACTATTGCCTGCTAAGCATTGGTGCAGATGGTTAGCAAAGACATACCATCACCACCCATAATCTTGACAGCTACTTGCCACCTGAAGGATGACCAAACGGCGATTATTGTCACACCTTGGGAAAGGAGAGTTGTCTGGCCTAGCAGTGCGGTAATTGATTTATTTACGCAAGAGAAGCATTCATATGGATCAGCTCACTTAATCTGGCAAAGCGCTAGATTAGTCTTGTGGACAACTGGTGCGATTCCTGCAGCTCCGTGGCAGAAACCTCCAGCCCCAATGGTCTTCTAATGGCCAAATGAAGCTATAGTGGTTTGGGATACACTGAGCCAGAGCCTGAGAGGTAGATTTGAATGAAGAGCCAGGGGATATTGTTAAGGCCTGCCACTCCCTGGGCAAATTGATAAACACAGCACTTGTACATGTACTCTGATCAACCTCTCCGTACATGCAGTGTACTTCAAGTAAGCGTACATAATGGCGTGTGTTGACCTGTGATGCCACCCTTGCTGCGCACACGTACATGCGCATGTAGTATTGTGATGCGTTCGAGTCACCGTGAAAACGAGCAGTACATCTACTGGCAACACTGGTATGTTGCCGTATCGCATTTAACTGTGCTCCGCCTTGTGGCGAGTTTGATTGCGCCACATACTTCAGCAGACTTGTATCCGACCTGGCTCCGAAGAGCAACTCTCCTTTCGAAGTGATCACCTTTCTTTGCAGCGTTACAAGCTGGCCGCACACTAAGACAAGCATTCTGCCTTCGGTTCCTTGTCCATGCTGCACCCCCGGCTGGTAGCCAGAAAACAATGGGTACTGAGTACATTTACACCCATGGTTACTATCTACATTTGCCAGTGCCTTTAGAAATGAATACTCTAAGAGTTGAGAGTGTGACATGTCCGAAGTCTTTAAGGATTTGCAAAACCTTCCCACTTGGCGGGTACAAAGTTTAACGACCCTGCCATCACACACCCTGATTCTGTTTCTCTCGGAAGATCCGTACATCTTCACCACACTCTCCAAACGGTCTCTGGGCTACACCAATCACTAAAAGAAAAAAGAGATAGTCATTCGAATTTTCGGGCAAGGCCCATCTTCAGGAATGTAGTACAGAAGAGAGGAAGAATAGCACACCAATAACGTCTCTTGAGTTGACAATGGATTTTTCTTGTTAAACGCTATACTTTGTGCCTCGTTAGAAATTGAACTCTTACAGTATTATAATCATTATACACAACGAAGGAAATTTCAACAGTGCACTGCACTGCTGTCAAGGGGTGCATGGTGGTGTGATGCTTACTCCCAGTGATAAACACGCCTCTAGGCACTGGTGTCAGCATGCAGACTGGACGGCATGATACTGCTAACACCGCGAGATTATTATCAAGCAAGTGAGATGATGGTCTCCACAGAATGTGGCCAGTTAGCGGCTTAGAACACACCCCTCGGTCTGAGCAGAAGTGGTTGCTGTCAGAAAATGTTTGCTTTTCAGCTGTACAGCGCACCACCAGCAGCCACCACAGCATGGGGTCCAGGGTGGATGACAATGGAGAAGCCTTTGAAGTTTGAACCTAATGTGTATGTAGTCCTTTAAAGTCCTTCACACATACAAGAATCAGCTGCACATGTACCCATGCTGGGAGTGTTTACTTTCAAGAACAGCAAGAAACTGCCACGACCAGCCAGTCTCCTTGGATCCTCTCCTCGGCTACAATCAGGCATGCACATCTGTGGACGGCTTTTGCCACAAGCCTAGGTGCACACTTTATCACGCTGCTTACTCATGCCTGCGGTGCACAGAGACTGAACAGATATATGCCATAATTATGGACACCTGCTGGCTGCCAGTGGAAAGGTGCAAGGCCACGACCAGCATACCCAGCTGGACTCCTCATAGCCCCCCCTCTCTCCGCGCGTCCCGCAGAACCCTGAGAATCTGGTAGATATGACACAGTCATGTCGCACCACTATCAGCGCAAGTCTTTTCCTGACAATTTTATCTTCTAACTGAACAGTAGTTATCACTTACACTGAGAATGTCCATTTAACTGTGCGTGCCAGGAAAAGCTCTGAACAGCAGTTATCACTTACACTGAGCATGTCCACCTAACTGTGCGTGCCAGGAACCGCTCTACTATGTAGCCCTACTCCATCCTGCATGTGATTATCTTACGCTAAGATCCAGTCAACATTTAATTTTGCTGACTGTAATATCCTGATCGCACATCCCGACTCTTGCCAAGGTATAAGTTGCACAACATGCAACGAGAAAAGTGTTCAGACAGCATCACATTAGACAGATGGGCTGTCAAACCTAATGGCAAAGCACATCAGTAGCTAAGGAGGCCGACTGGTGGAAGGACCGGGGCTTCCACTTCACCCCAGAGTCCGGAAATCATAAATCGCCGGAGAGAAACCAGAAACAATGGTAGTGAGAGAGAGAGAGAGAGAGAGAGAGAGAGAGAGAGAGAGAGAGAGAGTGATTGGTCAGATAAGCATTCGCAGATACGCCAGGATTACTGCTGCGACAGCTAGGGAAGCATTAGTTCCGACTAGCCCCAGCTTGGCATGCCTGTGGCATGGCTGGCCAGTGACCCAGGGATGGCTCCAGTAATCCAAGACTTAGCCATAGAGAGAACTGACCTTTTGTGGACAAGCACTCAGATCTTGGGATGCTAATGAGTGGTTTAGCATACCAGTACCTTAAACGAGCAGAATGTAATACAGCTATTACTGACAGTTTCCCATGTTCCAAGGCCCGAAGTTCCTAAGGGACACTTCAAGACATCCAAGTCCTGTCACAATAATGCCACTCTCAGCGGAACACACACCCTAATCCTCAAGGTCAATGCCACTTTGCAGTACATCAGCCAATCTCAACTTGCACTTGTACAGTTTCTGAGTACGCCCCCTAAGCAAGGATTTGCACTATGGAACGTGGATACTTGGCTGTAGTGAAAGAGCGTAGGTCCTCTTCCAGAAAACTCCATGTCACTTAGAAAGGTGAACTACTGGAGACTGGAGTAACCCCTGCCAGACTTACTCTCACCATTAGGGTCCTGCATGGCTAGTGGTACTGACAAAGACACGAGTAAGAAAGACGTGCGATGCACAGCACACGCACGCACACACACACACACATGTACATGCACACACACTCACATCTACCCATGGCACTTTGGGACATCCGAAGAGCAGTGTGTCTACCATGCCACGACATCGCGCAGGGTAAACACTTTGCTTGTGTGATTCGTCAGCGACAGGCAATGTGTGTACACCATCCAACTTCCTGTCCAGTTTAAAGAGATGCGAGTGACATATGGAAAGCTGGCACTTGCGGGCCACCCTTTCCCAACTACACTGAAACTGGAAATGCAAATGTAGAACACGTATTTGTACATCTATTATTGTCTTCTCAGAAGCTAGCTCAGGTGTAGAACATTGTAAACCAGGAAACACCAGCTCTTGGTTTTGTTCACGATTCGCGAGGAATGCCTGCCTAGTGTACACGTATGCTAGTGCTTGAGCACTGACTGAAATGCAGAGCAGTATCACAGTTGACTAAATCACATCTGTGTTCTACATCACATTTGCTGTTGCTGTTGCCTCTCTAACATCTCCCCTGTCTCTTCTCAAGCAAGCTGTTGCCACTCAACGTAAGCGAATGCGTGAACTACTACCCTAGTACAGATAACGGTCAACTTCAACACGAAACATGCAACTAATAGCAGTACTTCAAGTACAATAAAACAATAAAACGGCAGAAATTCCCCAACAAACAGGTCTTCCTGATCTAGAACATCTACTGATAGCAGCTTCCTTGATCTTGCAACAGCTCCTGAAGTAGTAGAATTCTGCAGTGCTAGGGGAAGAGACCTGCTTCACAACAGTGTGTAGATGTGTACTCTAGACGAATAGGCATCCATGGCACTTCTTGCAGCACTTCCTTCTCAATCCTACAGCTAACTCAGATCACCTTTGTAGGGGCTGATTCATTGAGGACACATTTCTATCACATGCCCCCAGCAAAACGCAGAAGCAGGAGGGCGCTGGAGCCAACGATTACCGCCATAGGAATGGCACAACTTATGAAAGGATGTTGTACCTGGAGTGGCCAGTGGAACAAATTTGTCTGATGGTTGTCTCATTGCTTTTCAAAGTGCAGGGGCTTAAAAATAGCGACTTCTTCTAGACCATGCAGTGGATATTTCGGGAGTCCTGATAGGACAACAAGAACTCCTTGGTGGTATTTGCATAGTACTAGCAGTGGATTGCCTCGCACTGATTAATTGATATTGGCCAGAGGCTAGAGCAGCTATGCACACAACTTTGTCACCATTCTGGGCAGTAAGTACCGTGGCTATTTGCAGTGATCCTTCCAACACAGTGGCACAGAGAGGGAAGAGGAGCTACCAGGGAGTCTTGTGAATCCCTGAAAATGCCGTGAAAGCCTGCTGAGCTGCCGTGTAACATTCACCTCACACCTGGCTAACCAAAACAGAAGTGGGTTCTTCAAGCAGAAAAGTTCACACAGAGACCCGCTGCCCGCAAAGCAGTGTTCCACTGAGCCTCGCGCTTAGAGAATCACAGCCGAGGAACACCAGGTGCACCATGCCACTCATTCCCTTTGTATAACATTTGTTTTATTACCCTTAATCATCAACTGCGTACAGTGTACCGCCGTGTACATGCTGTCCACTCTACGCCAGCACTGCTCCACATGCTGTCCACTCTACGCCAACACTGATCCACATGCTGTCCAGAATCACTAGAAAACCACTACACTCTTATAATATACTCCCATAGATTTGAATGTGTGTACAAAGTATGGTTACTACAATTATGATGCAATGCAACACCATATTGTCCAATTCAACACTGCTATATCATGCTGATGTCTGTATACAGTGCACTTGATCCCTTTTTAGAAGCCATACCAGATGCCCTTGGATGCCATTGACTGATATTTGAATGGTGTTGAGCACAGGCTGCTGCGAAGATTACGGTGCCCAATCAAATAGAGACTCCCGTCAATCTTGTGTTCCCCTCTCTCTGCTTTCTCTCTTACCCGCCTGGCAGCTTCAATCACCCTGATAAGCAACATAATGTCACACCTGCCTCTCACGCTGCTCCCAATTTCACATTCACATAAGCTGTCAAGGTTGCTAATGAGTCAGGGATTGGGCAGAATTTGATTTCCCCCACTTTATTCATTATTACAGGGTGCGACAGAGCGCTCTCGGCCATTGAAGAAAATGGTGATGGTTGTGTGCAGGAGGGTCTAGTCGGCTAAAGAGCGCAGTTTAATGGTGGAGGTGACTCACCACTTTATTCAGGTGATATTAATTTTACTCCATTGCAGTCACCCCCACCTGAAGATATACTCAGGTACCACCAATGATGTTGAAGTAAGTAATTAGTTCAGGAGTGAACCTGTCCAGTCAGGGCCCCTAGTCTGTTGTTGAATTGGTCGTGCACTGTTCTCATCTGGTTTCACAAAGAGCATTGCTTTTCATGCCTTGCCTAATACCTTGTCACAATCATGTGCTTCTAATCATTTTATCCGCTGCAGCTCCATTCTTAGCTTATGATTGGATTACCGTCCCACCATTTGCAGCTCAACTGTACAAACTCATGGTCTTAGGGTCACCTAGGAAAACTGAGCGCCACCCTGCAAACGCTTTCATCTAATTACCCGCCAGACCAAAAGTTCAACTTCGACGGATACTTTAATTTACTTGGCCCAGTGCTCGACGGATGTACTTTCTTTCCTTGACCAGTGTACAAGCTGAGTCAGCGCCGCGGAAAGGCAGGAAATCCTCTCCACAGGCAGCACCTGTGAGCGACGTCTCGAACCTGGGGCGCGCGGAGCAAGTGCTACCGCGGGATAACCGCTGTTGTTTTGGTTCTTCCGCTGTTCATTGTCACTCCAGAACAGCTTCCTTGATCCCCCGGGGCTAACGCATTCACGAGGCATATCGGTGTTACTCGTCGAGAAAACTACCAAATGGTGAAGCGGCAGTATGCCTGATTAAAAGGGGCTGTCGAGGATATGTTGGCGGGCCGGCAAATCCCATGAACTCTCGATATGGCGCGTGCACGCGTTACAGAAGCAAGCGTGCCGCACGCCTGGCGATTTCGTATCCCGCAGCGCAAACAGCCTGCAGCAGCGGAAAGCGAAAATGGTCCGACACTTGTTGAAGCAGGAGTGAGCAAAACGGCGTTTTGATCCGATGAGGCCGCAATTTCCTTGCCACTGTATGTGCTGTCAGGGAAGAATTTTCCTTGCACTAACTTTCAAAACGTCCTCCAGTGCACACCCGATTTCTTTTTACCTACTATTTTATGTACAAGTACATCACAAGTCTTGAGAAGAACACATTATCGTGGTGGCACACTGCACGCACACACAAACACACCTAGCTGAAGGTCTCACTTACCCCGACCACGCTAGCTTTCATCTGTAGATTGCGTTTTGCGGCGAAGCTTCCCGGTTGTGACTCAGGCCAGGCGAATAGTCCGCGTTGGTCCAGAAATAGAGCTGAAATGGCAATCAGCGGTTCTCTTTGGTTGCACAGCATGGGAGGACGGCCAAAGACAAAATTCAATGCTGAAGTTTCACCCTAACCGCTCGCGGAGATATGCCAGAGTTTGCTTGATAGTCGGCCCACTTTATTATTCCGAGAGCAGCTCAACCGAGACTGGTATGGCCTCCAGCTGGGGGAGATTTTCGTGGTCGAGTCACTCGCTAGCGCGTAACATCTTGCTGGACCGACCGTGTACCGCATGGTATGCATGCCCCCTTGCAGTTCATCTCATGATCGCGCAAGCGCGAGCCGCCTGGCGGTACGGGTATACCATGGTATACGTATGGCAAGATCGATGCCCGATCTTGCTAGCGAGATCACGTGACACAAAATTTAACCCAGTGTCTCAGTGGTATGTCAAAACGGGCTACGGCGTAACAGCTCCGCAGATCGGCGATCCGGCGGCAGTGTGTCACCTCAATTATGCAGTCGAGTCGTCTCAGTTTCGACCCGAGAAAAACATGCATGTAGTATCAAGAAGTTCTAGGCTTCATTCTTCACTGTACCTTTGATGCGGGGACGTCCTGGTCTGGGCGATCGCGAGGAGAAAAACCCGAACACGAGCAATGTAGCCTTGTAGATCTACCTGTAAAAGTCCCGACAGTTTCTTCACCTCACCCCACGCGTGGTTTTGCTGTGCTTACGTAATGCCAAGAACAAGCTGTTTGGCTACTGGCTGGTCTGTGTAACCTACTCGACTTGTTCTGATCGGGCAGTGAAAGCGAAATTTAATAGCAGGCGCTGCAAAGAGATATACACGGTCCATGCGCCCAGATGTCCTCAAAGTCGTTAGCACCATCAGACCTCATATCCCTCTAGAGCTCTGCCATGTAACAGGGCGGGCCAAGACTTGGGGCCATGGATGAGGGATCGTTCTGCTCTCTGGAGTATCTTGAAGCCTCTTTGGTTCGCAGCGGGTGTTTCAGGCACACTCGCACACATCATCATCCCTACTCGAAGTTGAATCGACTTTCGCCGCAAATCCCTGGACATTTAGCCCATAATAGCAGTGCTGTGGCATGCAGTGCGCCGATTTGTATGATCTAATACAGTTTTCTGAACACAGATACAAGTCAGATGAACATCTAATTTATGGCCTGGACCATGCTTAAAGAAAAGCTAACAGGATTGCTTTTCCAAGCCAATAGGTTACCGAGCATACACGCCGTGTGTACAAAGTGCTACCACGTCTTGTACCACGTCACTGCTGTACACGTACATGTAGATCTACAATGTCAGCGGCGTCGCACACGGTACGGTCACTACGGTATTGACCGTACCACTATTTGCCCAAAGTACCCCGTCAATCAATAAAATGCACTGATTTGGGCTCTAAATTTCCAAAATTTTCGGCTCGAGCACTCAGCCATCCCTCCCCCACGAGTAAATAATTGTGCTTCAGATGGCTGACCGTACCACACTAAAATGCCTTCCGATGCCCCTGAATGTACAATACAATCATGTAGATACGGGCGACCGTTTTCAGCCAACTCGTTCCTGTTTCGAATCGAAGTAGCTCCTGCGCCGCAAGCCTCTATGGGCCAGTTGGCCTGGCGGCGCATTTTTATTGCAGGACTCCCGAATGCCTCTCCTGGTCCATGGTGAACGCAAGCACAGTCGGCACAGAACAATGAAATCGAACACTGCAGCATTACATAATTGTAGTGCTCCTGTCGATACGAGTCAAAAGACCGATATATTACGAGTGAGGGACGTGAATTAAGGTAGCAGTACTGGAAAACGGGTGTCAGATTTAGCCAAAATATCAATTTCACGGGAACTGCTTCAAGTGTGATTTTTCTGAAAGAAGGAATACCAAAGGGTCTACAAATGAATTTTTTTGGCATTCGAACCAGCCAAAGCAGAGATATGGCCCTTCAAAAACTGAAAATACCCGTCAAAATTTCAAAATTGCACTGATCAGCTGATCGATGTCAATCTATTTCGAGAGGGTTTCTTTACAATATCAGCGCATCCTTGCCAATCTCGGCCTGATTCACACTATCTGTCCAGCTAAAACCAGTTTAGAGCTGGGCTGAGTGTCGCGATCGCCACATGCAGCGCCTGCCTGCGCCTGGCCCAAGCTAGCTGGCCTGGCTGGCTGGCCTGCACTCAACCCACGCAATTGTATTTTCAAAAATGATAAAAAAATTCTTTGTTCTCAAGCTGTTTGCCAATGCGACGAGCGTTTGTCAGCGACGTTGGAGCTCTGCGCTTGAGTTGTTGTGCTGGCGCTACTTGGTCAGGAGACGGGTGATGAACACAAACGAAGGAAAAGCAAATTTCCTAGAGTTACGTCCAAGCTCGTCTCAAATCCTGAAGTATTTGAGCCAATTGAGGGGAGTGAAAGCGAACACGAGTCGCAGGCTGATGGAGCTGGTGAGGGCGTAGAAGATGACTCTGATCTTCCAGCTGATTTTTTATCCAGTGATGCCTCGTGTGATAACGATGGAGATTAGTCTGAAGAGGATTGCGATGATATTCCATCAGGAATTCGAATTGTTCACATGGAGAGCTTACAGCAATTGGTGACGTCAGCGTGTGTATGTAGTAATTATCAAAGGGGCAACCTGACTATCAAAGATAATTTTCGTCATGGCCTCGCCTCAACAATTAGTTTGCAGTGCGAATCGTGCTGCTCATCAACCAGTGTAGCCCTGGCAGAAAGACACCCACTTGCTAAATTGTACGATATAAACCGCCGCCGCAGTGTGCTTGCCATGCGCCTTATTGGTAGTGGACGAGAAGGTCTGAACAGTATCAGTGGGATATTGAATATGCCGCCTCCTGTTAGCAAGTCCAATTCTGGGCACAGCGATGCACTACACACTGCTGTGGAAACTGATGCTAGGGACAGCATGAAGAGTGCTGCACAGCGTCTTCTTGTTCGGCGAACAACAGAACAGCATTCCCACCCGGAGCATGTTGCAGTTAGCACCGATGGAACGTGGATGAAGCGCGGATTCTCATCAATGTTTGGTATGCCAACTGTTGTGTCCTATGAGACAGAAAAGGTTCTGGACGCGGAGGTGCTATCAAAACACTGCAGTGGATGTGAAACTTGGAAGAACAGATGGCAAGCAAGAAAGATTTCTAATGCTGAGTACGAACAATGGAAATGTTTTCGGCTGTGCTGGAAATGATGAGCTGCTCTAAGTTTCACTTGCCAGCTCTGGTCTTCTCAAGTTGGATGAAGAGAAGCAGTATCACAGGAGGAGAAGGTCCAGTGAGGAGCAAAAGTCAGCCAGGAAGAGAAGAAGAGCCATTCGAAAGGGATTTGCTGACACGATACAGCAAGCAGAGGTAGTCACATACATTGCTGGAGGGTTTTCAGAGTGCCAAAAGTTAGTGTTTTTTGGCCTTCCGACCAAACTTTGGTACACTATATCTCCAGACTGGCTCATCACAGCCCAATAAACCTTATATGTAGATTGATCAGTGGAAAATTTCCCAGATGCTGAATATATTTATAAAGCCATAGTTTTTTGTTTGGCGGATGTTAGCTGCCTCAGTAGTAATAATCTTTTTCGACGGTGACGGGCGTCTTCACAGATGATGTTGACTGGGTGGTGCTATTTGTGTCCTATCTCCAATCTGTTCTATTCAGCATCTGCTACTATTGTAGACTGTCGCTTATGATGCATTTTCAACACTTCAGCTGATATTATGTTGCTGCTAGCATGTACCAAAAATCTGAGATGACGGCATTTTTTTACTCTCCAGTGCAGTGAACTTTTGGGACGATGCGAAGTAAATAAGTTCAAGGTAGTACTTTTATTAGGTGGTGGCGTGAATCATCAATCTGTGCTCAAAATTTTGAGGGAAAAGATTCACAGACACCGAAGTAATACCCGATTTTAGTTGTGTGTATTTGCGAATGGCATATTCCAGTACTGCTACCTTAAAGCCCTGCGCTGCAAGTGCAACCGGTTAGCCGTCCACCCTTTTCAACGCTGCTCTCCGTCTACAACACTGCACGAGACGTAGGTCTACGCCCTGCGCTCAATTTATTCTGCAAGTCTCGACGTTGTCGTTTGGGTGACTGATCACGATGCGCTGCACTGGCCGCCATACTGTATGTTTGTATTTCCAAACAAGGTTAGAAGCTAGAGCTCTTCTCCACCCAAAGCAATGACGCCTTTTCGCGGTCTCGTATACATGTACTTCGAAGTACACTGTACGAGCTGGCCAAGAACAATGCAATGTCGAAATGGCGGCAAGGTTTGCTGCGTCGGGCCTACACTACTACATACGGATATTGCCAGTAGCTAGTTGCTGGCTTCTTGAACTAGGTGAGTGTGTGTGTGTGTGTGTGTGTGTGTGTGTGTGTGTGTGTGTGTGTGTGTGTGTGTGTGTGTGTGTGTGTGTGTTCATTGCTGTGCAGGCGCTCTGGCAAGGATAGGAAATCCGTCTGGGGCGTTAGCATGGTTATGTGCAAGGTACAGCATTGCGATCATAGGTATACAGCATTGCGATCATAGGTATACAGCATTGCGATCATAGGTATACAGCATTGCGATCATAGGTATGCAGCATTGCGATCATAGGTATACAGCATTGCAATAGTAGGTACTACAATTATTGTAGTACAGTATTGCGATCATAGCCTAGGTATGCAGCAATGCAATAAATAGGTACTAGTGCAGTATTGTGATCATGGCCTACGAGGCTACGACTAGGTACAGCATTGCATCACAGGTGTCGAGTGTGCAACAAACACAAGAACCTCGTGGCACCCTTTTCCGCCGCTGTCAGACGAAGAGACTGGCCCCACATCAGCTGCTTTCAACATCATGTGCATTTGTCGAGGGGAAGTGTGGGGAGAGGCTACATACATCTGCTCGGGTGTGTTTCTATTTGTGCACAAACCCGATCCACGAATAGTACTCTTTTCATGTGACAACACGGCGGCCTGGTTTGTCGCGCCCCTGGCCTGGGGAACTGCGACGACCCTAACGATACCCATATGTGCGATGGCCGAGACAGGCGTTGACGGTGGACGCCGTGCACCTACACTGCCACTGGAGACCTGGGGTGACGTACACGGGTGCCTGGAGAGAATGCATTCAACGTACCGTACTAAATTACGCACTGAACACTGAATAGGTACAGACTACAGTGGCCAAAAGGCAAAGG